AGTTTAGGGCATGAAGAAAGAAGAGGCATTATGCCGAAGAGGCTAAGGCCGAAGAGGCCCCCACAAATTTGTGGTGTCAAGTGGGCAACTACACAGACTATTAAGTTATTTTCAAAGGTTCAACAGCAAGTTCGAACTCTTCGAAAATAGCTCTCTAGTCATATTTTATATTTTATTATATAACTGTTTTGCTCGTCATTAATTTGTAATTTTAATTGGAGATGATGGACCATTCCATCTCCTTGGGACACCAAATTTGTGTCCCTCAAAATCGTCAAAAAGATGCATATGTGTTAGTTAGAGTTAAAAATATTAAAATTTTCGTAATATTAAATTTTGAAGCTTAATTAACGTTCGGTGAATATTACAGTCATTTCTTTTTTCTTGTTTCGTTTTTAAGATTTTTTACTTTGATCGTATTTTATTAAATTTGTAATTTTTCTTGTCCATATAATGCAATTTAAAAGTAGTTCATAATAATTAATAGATATTATTTTTTTTTAGTAACTCTTAATATTTGTACTTTTCCCTTTTTTTATATATATTTTATGTAAATGTAAAATCACGCGTTTAAATTTAATTTTATTGCAACGGTTAATAGAGATTTGTGATAGAAGTAAATAGAAAATTTAATTGAAAAGTGCATCTGAGAATTGGACGATTTATATGTCAGGCTATTGTATTTCTTTTGACTGTATGACTAATATAGTTTTCTTCTTGTTACAGGTGATCATCGTAGGATTTAACAACAAACCTCTCAGATTTTCTTCCATTTGAACGCTTTAAATGACTCCTTTTTAAAATATATGTTTAAATGCATTTCTGAAGGCACACACATGTTTATACTTTCCTTTTTTATATTAAATTAAATATAATTATTTAATTTTTAGTGTATAACAATATGACTATACTATATATGCTATCAAAGAATATATCATTTACAATTATATACTATCAAAGAATACTGTATTCTTTGATAGTATTCTACCGTCATTGCATTAAGTACCTACTATAGCCCACCGGTGATCAGGTTAATTACTAAGATAAATGTGGTTACGGGAAAAGTGGACTTTTGAGCTTCTAGATATTTCTGCATTCTTTGTAAAAACCATGGAACGCTGTCATTAAGTATATATACATAGAAATGCATATAAAATGTGAAATATATTTCTAATATATAATCTCTATTTTAAACGATAGAAAAAATAATAAAATTTTCTTATTAAATACGATAATTAAAATAATGAACATTTATAAATGATTTATAATCATATATCACATTTGTAAATCAATGATTTGTATTTCCGGTTACCATACATATGACGATCTCTCTTTCCGACTAACACTCGTTAAAATTATACCAGAATGAAGGCAAAAGGAGAAGTAAGTAAATTATTTGATCGTATTGTGAAATCTTTTCATACTTATGTATCAAATGCATTATTATTTTATCTTTTTATTCTAATGATACATTTTATACAAGATGTTTACGTATTTACTTATAGAATCATTAATAAGATAACC